AAGTTTTCCAAATTTCGAGTTATCGAGGAAAAACTAAAATTTCAATTAAGTAGTGTCGGTGATTCAATGCGTTTCGCAGTTCAATTAAAACGCAAGTGTTCATATTTTTATTGTTCTATTATCTTGGCTGCAGCTGCAACAAATTATCTTTGTTTTAATTAAAAATTTATAAACATTTGCCCAAGATTTTTGTTAAGCCTTCAAGAATGTATTTTGAATTATAATTTTGGTATAAATACGTTTCTTTTTCTTAATTTGATATTAATTTTAGGCAATTATATACAAATTACATGAAATATTGAGTGAAAACAGATAATTATGATTTCTTTTAATAGAAGTAAGGTTTCGTAATTTACTATTTTAAAGTAAATATTTCCCTAAATATTCTATTGTATTTTTCTTCTGTTTTCAATAAATTGCAGAGAAAACGCACTAATTTTAATAATAATAATCTTATTATAGTTTCACACTGAAACAATGACATAAGATTGACAGTTACAGAGTTCGATGACAGCAATGACTTTTTCAATGAGCACTAGTTTTTAGGAATATGAAATTTTGATCTAAACACTTTCCTTTTTCTTAATTTGATATCAATTTAAGGCAATTATATAAAAAATTACATCTAATGTTGAATATAAAACAGAAAATTATGATTTCTTTTAATAGAAATAAGGTTTCGTAATTTTGAAGTAAATATTTCCCTAAATAATCTATTGTATTTTTGTTCTGTTTTCAATAAATTACAGAGAAAACGCACTAATTTTTTGTTGATTCGTTCGAACGTTTGTCACTCGCACCTGCAGATGATTCATTACGCAGGTGTGCAAAACGCAGTGATTTTCGTGCCCATATAAGGATTGCTTTAACGTTCGCACCTGCAGATGAATTATCGCGACATCTACGAAACGCGTTTTCCTTTTGTTTACACGTTTTAGAACCGCTGTGATTCTGATACCTCGTGACGTTTCGCGACAATTCGTCAATTTTCGTAATTATATAAGCCTATTTTTACCAGTGCTGGAATCAGACCTATTTCAATTCATTCCACAGAGTCCGGACCTGCGCTTCAAATTTTATAATATTTTCATGACGTAATTAACACAAAATATCGGATACATTCAATTATCATTATTTTTTTATAAAATCATGAAATTTTATGTACATTTTCTTATGTGCTTAATTCATTATATTTTTTTTTTAATTTTTTAAAATAAAACAGATTTTGTTTAATTTATAAGAAATTCACAAAATAAAAATTACGTTTATTAATTTTTGAAAATTTTCAAAAACTAGAAACGTTGATTGAGTTTTTTCATGTAAAATTTGTAGTTGAAATCTACTAAAATCTGATAAAATATCATCAAAAACTACGTCTAATTCATACATGTTTCAATGTAATAAAGCCAAGCTAATAAACAATATGAATTTCATGTTATATAATTCCGTTTTCAGGGGACATAATGAAATGATAGACTGCTGTGATTTTAAAGTGATTTCGCATGGAGCAGCAACAACAACAACAAGTGATTTATTAACGTAATATCCAAGCGATTCGATGAAAATAAATTTAAAAAAAAGAAGAGTGAAAAAAAAGGGAGCGTGCAAATGGGATTTCCTCGTGCATTTCCAGGGAGTGTGTATGGAAACGGTCGCATTAATTTGTTTACCGAGTTGCGCAACGACGCTGAAAGGGGGGAGCAGAGTAGAAAGAATGAGTGAATGAAGGTTTGGGTGCGTTCAAATCAATCTCCGGAATGGATTTTAATCGTGCAAAGTGCTATTTGCATTACACATCCAAACATTCAGATTTCTATCTAGAGAGAAAGAAAAAAATAGCATATGTATGCGATTCCCAGAAACGTCTGCATAATCTTTACTTCTCATTAGTTGATGAATCCGTAAATTCTATATCACGTTTGTAATAATTCCAACAACAACAAAAAACGTATAATGTTGCGTGTAATTCAATTTTCCGCTTGATTATACCGCAGCGGATTTGCTTAACAAATTCGATTCGATAAAAATCGTGATAATAATTCACTACCAAAGTTTGAAAAAAATATCTCAATTTTGAAAGTATATTACAGAAAAACTAAAAATATCAGAAATATTTTAGTAGGCTCATTAGAATGGCTATACTTTTGTCTCTCATTTGCTTATTCACTGATCTAATTAAACTACTTGCTCATTTAATCATTAAATAAAACCTGAAGACTT